GAGATGATCTAAACCGTCTTTTATGTTGGGATTACGTTGTCTGTTGTCTGTTGGATGTGTTTATGTTTTCTGTTCAAAACGATCTGAACCTCTCTTTGTCTCTAGATTCAAACTCAACTCTACTTTATTATATAGATATATAATTGTAACCAAAATAAAGCTAACGTATAATCAAAATTCTTTAATTTTAAATACTTTCTAAGATAAGGACTATTTTTCTTATTATATATATATATATATATATATATATTACTTTCTAAGATAAGGACTATTTTTCTTATTATATATATATATATATATATATATATATATATATATTGTGACAAAAAAATTGTGACACATATGCTGTGAAATCAATGTTACACTGTTTGTAAAATACATATGCAAAGTGAGATTACTGTGGACATTATAATGTGACATCAATGTTCATTGTATACACACAACATATATAGATTTTGGCACATGGAAAGTACCACAGTATCAACCAGGGATTGACACACTATGGGCTTCACAAATGTGGCATTAATGTCACATTGCATATAGATACCATTTACAGTGTTTACAAATGGATGGTATCACATTGTGACTCCAATGTAACACTTCATATGCACATAACATAAAGATTTAAAAACACATATTGAGTATCACAGTGTTAATCTAATGTCACAATGAACCTACACATCATATGCATTTTTTTTCATGGTGTGGACATCAAAAGTATGACTCCAATGTCACACTGCAAAAATAACACCATATGCAGTGTTTTGTGAGGAGTGAGTATCATACAATGTGACTCAAATGTAACACTGCATAAATAAAGAGAGAAAATAAAAGAAGGAGAGAGAGAGAGAGAGAGAGAAAATAAGGAGAGGAGAGTAACAATGAGAGAACAAGTTTGAGAGATAAAATAGAGGGAGAAAGAGAAAATAGAGGGAGAAAGAGAAAATAGGGAGAGAGAAAAAAAGAGATAATATAGGAAGAGAGATATTAATAGAGAGAGAATAAGAAATCTTTTGAAAACTAGTAGAATCCTTTCAAAATTTAAATGGTTAATTATCCTTTTAATTTAGGAAGTCATTTAGCCATTAAAATATAATCAAAAAGACAAGAAAATTATCTCAATAAAATTGAAAACTAAATCTCATAATTAACTGTCTAATTTATCTTTCACGAACAAAGAAAAAGGGCTTCTACGTAAATAAAATATTTAAAAAAAGTCAAAGTGTATCTATTCACAAAACATTTACACACACAAAAAAAAAACTTATACACAAAAGATTTATATTAAGTTACTTCCTCACAAATAACTAGTGTATTATACGCCTTTTTACAATTTTTTTTTTTTGGATTAGGTCTTTTTTGAAAAGTCAAAATATTGTGTATAACTAACACCCTTTATAATTGCAAAAAATAACGATAATGTCATCATCTAATTTAAACACTTATTCCTGACCACAAAAAAAAAATAAACACTTATTTTAAAAAGTTACATCATCATAATGTACATTTCTCCATAGATAAAATTGTAAGGCATGAACACTGAAAAAAAATAGGTACGTAATAAAAAAATATAAAAAATAACAGGTACACAATAATCGTCAGACAAGTATACTAAAATATAGATCGTTAATATACTTTTTTCTTCATAAACAAAGATCGTCAAATAGATACACTAAAACACAAATCGTCAGACGGGTACACTAAAACACAGATCATTAGACAACATCATAATGTCCAAATTGTTTGATTCACAAATTTGGATTTTAAAATTGATATACAACACCGCAAAAACCTCAATAAAAAAAAACTAAATATTTTTTAGATTGAAATCATGTTATGAGGGTAAAATGGGTAATAAACACAGNACTAACTATTTTTTAGATTGAAATCATGTTATGAGGGTAAAATGGGTAATAAACACAGTTGTTAGTATCGTACGATACGTTACGATACGGAGATAAAACAATACGAATCATAGTTTTATATCGTTTTTGCGTTGTATAGTCCGATACACGATATATTTTTACGATATGATACATATCGGTACGATACGTATAATATGCGCACGAGCAATTTAATTTATTTATTTTACTGAAACGATGTGGTTTTGTGTTAAAGGAGGCCGATTTTTTTATCCCTATAGCCACTGAAAATCTCTCTTTTCTCTTCATTCGTCCCTATCTTCTGGTTGTTCTTCGCGATGACGAAACACAATAGCAAAGGTGAATCTCTTTTTTTTTCTCTGTTATTCGCAACGATAAACCCTAGCCCCTCTCTCTCTCTCTCTNGAAATTGTGTATGGATTTAATCCTTTAACCCCATTGGATTTATCTCCTTTACCTTTTGACTGAGCATATTAATTTGGATAGCAAGAAGAAAGCTGACTTTGTCAAGCAGACNTGGGAAGAATGTTTACCACATGTTGAGTTTGCTTATAACCGATCCATTCATTCTGCTACTAAATTTTCACCATTTGAAATTGTGTATGGATTTAATCCTTTAACCCCATTGGATTTATCTCCTTTACCTTTTGACTGAGCATATTAATTTAGATAGCAAGAAGAAAGCTGACTTTGTCAAGCAGACTCATGAGAAAGCAAAACTCAACATTGAGCGAAGAACGGAGCAATACGCAAAACAAGCCAACAAGGGACGTCACAAGCTGATTTTTTAACCCGAAGATTGGANGACTTTGTCAAGCAGACTCATGAGAAAGCAAAACTCAACATTGAGCGAAGAACGGAGCAATACGCAAAACAAGCCAACAAGGGACGTCACAAGCTGATTTTTGAACCCGAAGATTGGGTTTGGCTGCATATGAGAAAAGAGAGATTTCCGGCACAAAGACGTTCCAAATTGCTTCCAAGGGGAGATGTTCCTTTCCAAGTCCTGGAGCGCATCAATGACAATGCCTACAAGCTAGATTTACTTGGTGAGTACATTATAAGTGCTACTTTTAATGTTACTGATTTGAGTCCTTTTGATGTAGGTGATGATNGAGACCACATGCAAGATTTTGCAAAAACTTGAAGACCTTTTTTTATGCTAAAAATTTAGTAGGACTAAAATTGATTTACACACCAAATGAGGGACTCTAGTGTAATTAACTATTTTCGAAGGAGGAGTCCCTGAAGCAGTGAAGCAAGAGTCCCTGAAGTAGAGAATCAGAGTCCCTTCACACTTGAGCTTTTATTGCTCAGTTGTCGTCGCAGCACAGAGACTCAAAGAGTGATGCAAATCATAACACAACTTCAAGGGATTTAGTTCAAGTTCTAAGTGGGCCGGTTACGAGAGCACGAGCAAGGAAGTTTAAAGAGGTACTCAATGGACTAATTCAAGAGGCATGNTGGGCCGGTTACGAGAGCACGAGCAAGGAAGTTTAAAGAGGTACTCAATGGACTAATTCAAGAGGCATGGAATCAAGCAAGTTTGTGGAGGCCCATTGACCATGATCCACTTGGGCAACAAAGATTCATCAACATGATTCAAGTTCTAGAAGAATCCAGCTAGGGGCTAAGGCTAAGATTCAATTGGTTTATTGTTGTTAAGGCCTCCAATTTGTCTAAAGGATTAGAACTATTAATAAGTGGGCTTGAGGATGCTTAGCCCACATGTTTTATTTCTTATGAAGTAGGGTTTTCAAAGTTACTGTAGCGTGCACTGTTCATGCTACAGTACGTGCACTATTCTTTATTTTTAGGGTCTAATTGTAAGGCTTGTATGCCAAGTACTTTTCTTTTTTCTATTTAGGCATGTGCTCAGCCATTAAAGGGCTGAATGTCTTTCCTTTTTTCTTCAAGAGTCTTAGGAAAGTAAGAGATATTTCTTTACCCACAAGTAAGAGATATTTCCTAAGTAGGATAGCTATTTTAGGAAGATTCCTAATCCTTGTAATGACCAGCCTATAAATAGGCATTCAGATCAATGAAAATTTAGATCATTATTCAGCAAATTTTGAGAGTGTTTTCTCTTTGGTTCTTTGAAGAACTAAACGAACTTATCGGAATTCTCCGTGGCGTTCACCAACGACTTATCAAACGGGTTTGCACACCGTTTGTGGCGTCTTCCTTTATACCGAGGTTCTTGTTTCACAAACAGCGGGTTGAGATCTATATACCAAGGTTTTTGTTTGTTGTAAACAACGGGTCAAGGTCTACCATAAAATATGATCGTTAAACGATCTTGGGTTCTTTTCGTTGTTGATTCTCGTTATTCCGGCGGGTACCACGAACTTATCGAAATTCTCCGTGGCGTTCACCAACGACTTATCAAACGGGTTTCCACACCGTTTGTGGCGTCTTCCTTTATACCGAGGTTCTTGTTTCACAAACAGTGGGTTGAGGTCTATATACCAAGGNGACTTATCAAACGGGTTTCCACACCATTTGTGGCGTCTTCCTTTATACCGAGGTTTTTGTTTCACAAACAGCGGGTTGAAGTCTATATACCAAAGTTCTTGTTTGTTGTAAACAACGGGTCAAGGTCCACCATAACATCTGATCGTTAAACGATCTTGAGTTCTTTTCGTTGTTGGTTCTCATTATTTTGGCAGGTACCACATCAAAGAGAGAGAGAGAGAAGCAAAGGTGGGGCGTCTGAGAGTCTCAAAGCAAAATTTTCTTATTTTTTTGGGGGGGGGGGGGGGGGGGACAATTTAGATTTTAGGCAAAATGTCCAAAAGGGCAAAACCAACATTTTATATGAAATTAAATGACCCACTCGATTTTTTAAAATTCGTCCGGATTCAACGAGTTTACGCTGATTTTATCACACAAACGATCTAATAAGTGAACCAACCCGATTTAGGCACCGATTTATTAGGTCAATTCTTCGGGTCGAATCGAATTTTAAAACACAATACGAATTTTATATTAAACTCACATTAATAAACGAATTGAATATAAATGAAAATAAAAAAACAAAAAATACACGCAAATATCAGTGGCTATAAGCCAAAGGAGATATTCGGAGAACAGAGAGAGACAGAGAGACAGAGAATCATGGCGGTATCAAGTTGCGCTAGGGTTTTCCCCACTTTCGAGTGCCGATCAGACCCGCCGGAATATTCCAACACCCGCCGGTTTTCCACCGGGAAATCAACCTCATCATCGATCCACAAACCCCTCGCCGCCTCTTTCGCTGGCTCGCCCGGTAATCTCTCGTCTCTGATCTTCAAATTTCCTCCGAATTTCGTGCGGCAACTTAGCACCAAGGCCCGGAGGAACTGCAGCAACATAGGCGTCGCTCAGGTCGTAGCGGCAGCGTGGTCCACCAATCCACCTCCCTCCGCCGCTTCCATCGATGCTCCTTCTCCGATCGAGGTTCCGATTGTTGATGAGGGAGTGCCGGCGGACAACGGTAACGGCTCTTTTAAGATTGATGATGTACAGTTGTCAGCTCTAAATGATTCTAACACGGCGTCATTTCTGACCTCTGATGGTAGCATTGCCATTCATGCTGGTATAGCTTCAAACTTGATACACTAGTCCTTTAATATGCATTTATTCCGACATAATCTAAAGATACGTATATAGATGTGTATATTATTACCTGCTTTGGGTTAATAGAGCTATCGTTCCTCAGTGTCTGGTTCAAGTATTACTTTTTCTTGTTGAGTTAAATGTCTATTCAGTAAGAATGGTTAGGATTTCGATTTAATATAAGGTCTTGTGGTTTTTTTTTTTTTGGGAGGGAGAAGGGGATGGGGAAGGGGAACGTGAACGGGAACGCAAAGCTTTTACAAGACAAGGAGTACCATTGAACCAAAAGGCTCATTGGTATAAGGTCTTGTGGTTACGTTCCTAGATTTCTGAGAGAAAACTCATGTCGGTTGGTGGTAATGTTTGTGATTTTATTTTGAAATAAATGTCTGTGGGCATTTAGGTGGGTGAAAAATTTGTAGTGGTCGATCATGCCATGCAATCACGGTTTCTTTTGATTTTAAAGGATTGTATTGTGTCACTTGCCTAGTGTCGTTGGGATTATTGAAAAACCAGAGAATGGTCTGTCTGTTGTGGGCGGTGTGTGTGTGTGTGCATATGTATGTTATTTGAGTTGTTTAGAAAGCTGAAGCTGAAACTGGACAGAAGCGGTTGATTTACTATGTTATTCATTCTTAATANTGTCGTTGGGATTATTGAAAAACCAGAGAGTGGTCTGTCTGTTGTGGGCGGTGTGTGTGTGTGTGTGCATATGTATGTTATTTGAGTTGTTTAGAAAGCTGAAGCTGAAACTGGACAGAAGCGGTTGATTTACTATGTTATTCATTCTTAATAGTTGGAACTTGGAAAATAGGCTGGGAATGATTTGATCAATGGATATTCGATTCTTTTTTTTTTTTTTTTTCTGCAGGTGAAAGATTAGGTCGTGGTATAGTTACTGATGCAATCACCACTCCTGTTGTTAACACTTCTGCCTACTTCTTCAAGAAAACTTCTGAGCTTATTGATTTCAAGGTATGCATGTTAATTCCGACTTACTACTCTTGTTCTTTATTCTTTCTTATGCATACCCACAGCCTGCCTTGTCCCTAAAGTTACAATAAGAGGTTGAATCATGTATTTGATATTGTGGCAGGAGGGCCGCCATGCAAGTTTTGAGTATGGGCGTTATGGGAATCCAACTACTGTTGTTGCAGAGGAGAAGATCAGGTGTGTCTCGATTTTGGAAATGCGCTTGTAAGGCCGAATTGCCTAATGTTATAGTGAGCATTCATTTTCCTCTGTAATTAATCAGTGCACTTGAGGGGGCTGAATCAACCCTGTTGATGGCATCTGGAATGTGTGCTAGCACTGTTTTGCTGATGGCACTTATTCCAGCTGGTGGGTATCTTGTGACAACTACAGATTGCTACAGGAAGACTCGGATTTTCATTGAGACCATACTCCCCAAAATGGGAATTAAGGTACTTTTTTTTAACATGAATTACATTTCTACTTATTGTTTGTATGCCTTGCTTGTCTGGATACTTTTGGCAACGTTTTGCTACAATGCAGGGGACCTTACTCCATACCTGTGTTTATACCAGATGACTGACTCAATAGAAATACAACACCTCATTGGAGTGGTATATCAGTATAGCATCTCTTCATCTTCTGTCAACCTGGAAGTTGAGGAGCATGTAAAACCAATGGGGGTCCTGAAAAAGAATAATATATGCTGTAGCAGCTATAGAATCAGTTATTAAAGTTGTAATTGAGATTTTTTTTTGTAACTGGACCCTGATTTGCTGAACCTTGGCTGGTCATGAAGTCAACCATCTTGACCACATTTTCAGTCAATGTTTTGCTTACATAAATAAGTTGCAGGAAACGTAATATGAATTCATTTGCCTTCATTTTCGATCAGGCAAGCCTAGATAATTTTGCCTGTGCTGTCTTTATCAAACAAAATTATGATCACTGTGGTTATTGCACATCTCTCCTAGATGATCTCTAGTTGTGCTTGTTTGTTACGCCTACAACACTAGTCCGTGTCAAATTTGCACCTGTATGTCTACTGGTCATCTTCTGTTTGATTTGCATGCAATTGTTTTCATGCTTACAAATCTTCTTTGTCATGTTGTGCAGACTACTGTGATTGATCCTGCCAATGTGGATGCTTTGAAATCTGCTCTGGACAAGAATGAGGTAAGAGGCCGATTAAATTTGTTTCTCTTTTTTTAACTTCTTATTTTATTTGATGAAATTTTTATATGTATTGGTCTTCGGTTAAACCTGACTGGGTCTTGTTTTGGTGGATACAGGTCACTCTTTTCTTTACAGAATCACCAACAAATCCGTTTCTCCGGTGTGTTGACATTGAATTGGTGTCAAAGCTCTGCCACAGTAAAGGAGCTCTGGTCTGCGTGGATGGAACATTTGCTACACCTTTGAACCAAAAGGCCCTCTCTCTTGGTGCTGATATTGTCTTGCATTCTGCAACAAAATACATTGCCGGTCACAATGATGTATATTTCACTTATTTTTTTTAAATCAAGATTGTTAGCTTTCAGTATCTAAAGTTAGATTATCAGTAATTAAATTCCAATTCTTTCAGGTCCTTGCTGGTTGCATTAGTGGTTCCGAGAAGCTTATGGCTAAAGTCCGTACACTCCATAACATTTTGGGTGGTGCTCTTAACCCAGTAAGTCATTCTGTACTTGGCAACATTTGGTTATATATCAGTTTGCACCTGTCCAAAAGCCTTATAGTAAGTTTCATTTGTGTTGGGATCCAGGTTAATGATTTTTAAGTTAATACAGTGAAACTATCATACTGTGTTTTGGGCTTCAGACCATTATAAATGCATATGCTTGATCACGTACATCTCATTTGATCAATAGTCCAATTTTAGCCCGCTTGGTTGTTCAGCAAAATAAACTGCTTGTTCCTTTTCTTAACAGAATGCCGCGTATCTGATCATTCGAGGCATGAAGACACTGCATCTTCGTGTACAGCAGCAAAACACTACAGCATTGAGGATGGCCAGACTTTTAGAGGGACATCCTAAGGTACCTTCATGAGTTTCTTTCCCCCTTATAGAGAAATGATTTGCTGCAGTATATGTCCTTCCATCTGTTCTACGAAACCATTACCTAGGGAGTTGAGGGACTCTCTTTCTGTCTCTTTGAATGCATCCATGTGCTTCAAACATTTAGTCGAAGAGGGTTGTACCCTCCATTTCCAGATTTGGAAAATTACCATTTTTTATCACGCACACCTCGATTCTCTCCTCCTGTGAAACTATTTATGAACCTCTCATTGAGTCTCAAGGCAATTACCATTTGTAATTGGGCACCCCCTCTACTAAGTTATCTTAATTGTCTTAAAATTTTGAAGTTTTGACTCCATAAACACATCTACTTCATACTCTCTTGCCTCTCTATGTATATAATGGTATGTGGGTGAGGTGTGTTCAATTCCATCTACCCTCTTTTGTTCTTATCACAAGGACCCTTAAAGAAAAATACCTTCATTGAGTATTTAGAGTTAGGGATTCAATCATGTAGTTGATACTGGACCCAAAATATTGATAGCCTTTGTTTTGGCAAAAGAAACTTTTAGGGATCACTTTATCTACATATTCTTCATGTATCTTTTCAGAATTTGTTCGTGTACAGATAACATTATTCTTTCTCGGCCACAGGCTGCCATCTTCCTCAAGTTATGACATTAAGCTTATGCAGGTGAACCATGTATATTATCCTGGCCTTGTTAGTCATCCTGAACACTACATGGCCAAGAGACAAATGACTGGTTTTGGTGGTGTGGTTAGTTTTGAGGTGAGTCCTGATGTTTGTGTGACTCTGCACCTTAGCATAACTGAACATCAGTAAGTTGCTTAGAATTCTTGAAGTCCATGCTGTTTTTTCGATTATGTAGATTGATGGGGACTTGATGAAAACCGCAAAGTTTATTGATGCCTTGANTAGCCAAGAGACAAATGACTGGTTTTGGTGGTGTGGTTAGTTTTGAGGTGAGTCCTGATGTTTGTGTGACTCTGCGCCTTAGCATAACTGAACATCAGTAAGTTGCTTAGAATTCTTGAAGTCCTTGCTGTTTTTTTGATTATGTAGATTGATGGGGACTTGATGAAAACCGCAAAGTTTATTGATGCCTTGAAAATCCCTTATATAGCCCCTTCATTTGGGGGCTGTGAGAGCATCGTAGATCAGCCTGCAATCATGTCGTACTGGTATGCAATCTCTCTCTACGGCACATTAGTTAACAATATAGGAGTGATAACTCCTTTTGTGATATTTTAAATAATTATCTTCATCAAATGGGTGATATAGTGCCTTGAAACAGGGATCTTAGCCAGGCAGACAGGGCTAAATTTGGGATTAATGACAACTTGGTTCGATTTAGCTTTGGGATTGAAGACTTTGAGGACTTAAAGGCTGACATCCTTCAGGCCTTGGAAGCCATATAAGGCGCATTACCATCATTTGCTACACCTCCCCATTCTCTTCCAAACTCCTGGTTCTAAGACATATTTTTTTTGGTTTCTGTTTCGATATTTTCACCTTGTGAGTCTACAAATGGTGATAGTTTTTCATTTTGGACTAGAACGTTCCTTTCTGCAATTTGTTGAATTTCCTTGTGCTTGGCTACTCCTTGATGCATTTCCAGAAGAAGAACAAGTAGCAGTAAGAAAATTGAGTTAATTAATAAATGATGAATGGCTACATACTCTGAAGTAAGATGATTACATGACTACATACATCTAGTAAGACGTAAACAAGGGCATTGGACGGGAAGAAAAAGGGGGAAAGAGAAGAGGAGGGGGGAGGGGAGGGGAGGGGGACTGGAACCCCTATTCATCTTTCTCCTCATCTTCGTCGTAATTGAAAGGCAGAGGCACAGACTTGAATGCACGATATTTACCAACATTGTTCAGATGTTCATTCTCCAACCTGATCAAACCGCAATGAGAAACTTCAACAATCAAGGCTTGTACTTACAATTTCTTGTTGTCAGGGAAAGTTTGGCCACAAATCTTGTTCAATTTTTTAGTGTATGAGTGCACATTTTTTTCTTGCATTTGTGTATGTGTTAACAGTTTGTTACTGTGTATGTGTTTTGGTTATTAGTTTAGTATGCATTAACACAATTTTTGTGTGTGTGTGTATTGGTGTATTAGTGTGTCTTTGTTTGAGTTTATTANTGTGTATTGGTGTATTAGTGTGTCTTTGTTTGAGTTTATTATTAATGTTACTTGTATAGACTTAACTCATTTACAATCCGTATTAATAAAACAGGTATGCAGCCTGTTAATTTGTGGACGGGTTGGTGGATGACATGATACTGGAATAGAATCTTGGTGGTATCGTAAAATTACNTGTGTATGTGTTTTGGTTATTAGTTTAGTATGCATTAACACAATTTTTGTGTGTGTATGTGTATTGGTGTATTAGTGTGTCTTTGTTTGAGTTTATTATTAATGTTTCTTGTATAGACTTAACTCATTTACAATCCGTATTAATAAAACAGGTATCCAGCCTGTTAATTTGTGGACGGGTTGGTGGATGACATGATACTGGAATAGAAGCTGGGTTGGTGGATGACATGATACTGGAATAGAATCTTGGTGGTATCGTAAAATTACCTGAAGAAATTCCATATACCCCGACGAATGATTTCCAGGGTAGCTACAATGGCAATTAAAGTATTTCCATGTAAGAAAGAAACCCCAAATCCTAGCAACGATTGCAACCAGGCTAACCTCAGCAAGACATTCAGGACCTGCATAATTCCTAATCATTGTTAGAAGTACTCAAGTTGGATGCAAGTAAAAACTACAATTTTAACCCGCACGGGTTAGTTCATAGGTTGAACAAAAAGTGATGCATAAACTCGGACATCTTGTTTTCATAAAACTTAAGTTTAATCGATGCACGTTCTATTTATTAGATCCAAATAACACATGGTTGTGACGATTTCCGTTACCACCAAAAAACAAAACCTACAAGTACTTGATGTAAGGGTCTGTTNTTGATGCACGTTCTATTTATTAGATCCAAATAACACATGGTTGTGATGATTTCCGTTACCACCAAAAAACAAAACCTACAAGTACTTGATGTAAGGGTCTGTTCTTTTACTCACCATGGCTACAAAATATACAGTTTTATGTGGGATAAGAAGCTTGTCTCTCAACCAACGGTTCTTAGAATTCCTGTTGAAAAGCCCCCAGTCTATCAAAATGTCCCAGTATGTGGCAAAGATGGTTGCAATGACTGAGGCAATCCAGGCTATCACCCTCCAACTGATCCCTTTGTTGACACTGTAAGCTGTCCTTGTACACACTGCTACAATTGTTGAGAAATATTTCAGCCCATTGTAACCCTGCATTGGATCTCTCTCTTCATACAAGCGTCGGAGGCACTGAGATGAAAAGAAAATTGTTACAGTCTACAAATGAACCGCGCTGTTCATGAACATCTCAGAATTGGATCGGATAGACTCTACACACACGTGTAACTGACCCCAAATAGTTGAATTGTATCATGTAGTAGATTTACCTGTAATAGACGCATCCAATACGGGATTACAGCTACAATGAAGAAGAAAACGTTGTAAACATCACTTGAATTGCAATTGTTTTCTCTGCGTTTGTAGTCTCCCCAACCATAATAACAAATGTAGAACTGCAGACTTCTCAGTGCTGGAACCTATAAAAATTGTTACTGTAGTTAGTATATGCATTTCTGTACATAATTTATAAGGAAAGAAAGTTGTCTATCAGATTGATTTAGCATTAGCCATTTTATAAACCTGGCTAGTCAGTTGGTCTGCCAAGAAGAAATCTGGGAGTGTGACCTGCAGAAAAACAAAGGGAAGATAAGATCAAATTCTCAGACCCTTCTTTTCTTTCTTTCTCCCTCTCTCTTTTTCAAATTTGCCTCTGATTTTTACCTTGTAGAGAGGAGCACAGATACAGTGAAACAAACATGTAAGGAAGAAGAAACGACTCGATCGATAAATGATATTGAGAGGGCACAACATTATGGCAAGTAGTAGCTTCAAAGAAAGAAAGAAGTTAGTATGTTCTTGACGTTAAATGGTGAAAAGAGATTTGTGTGGAGTTGATTCTCTTACCCCTACTAATCCAAGGGGGAGAAGTTCTGTTATTACTTTGTAGTCCATTGTTTTCGGGTCCATTTCCATATCAAGGTTTGAAAGCACACAGGCTAGTGTTAGAATGGCTAAACCAAAGCTTACGAGTAGAACTTCTCGGTAGCCTAACTCTGTCCCTTCCTTGAAGCCAAAAATAAATGGAAAATTGACTCGGTACCGCCTCCAGAAGTATACATTTGCAGCATACATAATCATGTGCAGAACAATGAATCCGAACAAGCTGCAGAGGAAATTGAACATGGCATGTCATAAAACTATAGTATGCACTTTTCTCTTTGAGGTATACAGGAAAGTGAATTGAATTGGTTTTCACAAGCTGTTCTGAATGTAAAAATTATATAGATTCTTCATTTTCGTTTTAACATGTAGTAGTTGTTTGGTTTGTTGATATCTTTTGTAAACTCTTTTTCTTTCACTATGTAACGCTTCACCTTTCATCTATTTTGTTGTTCTGCCTCTTATCTATCTATTTATTTGTAGCTATTCTCTTATATTTTCGCTTTCTCTTATACCCTTTCATGCAAATAGATTGGATCTTAGCCTCCTTCTAACAAGTCTATTTTTGAATTAATCATGTAATTAGAGATCATGTTTTTTTTAGAGGTTGAGAGGCTTTGAGCAGAGAACATCTGCCTTCTTGTTTTTTCAGTCCTCAACTTTGCTTACAGAACAAAAAGTTTAAACATTAGTCCTCAATATTTCCGTGGCGTGACATTGTTCATGTAAGCGCCTCCAAATAAAAGTTGTTAAACTACCATCTACTCAAAAAGTGACAAGACTTCGGCGGTTTGAGCTGAGTTAGGAGGGAAGTGGCAAACAACTATAGAAATTAAGTAACAAGAACTACTTTGGTGCTAATTTTAGTTACCTGTAAAGGGGAAACATAGTATCCATGTAGTGCAATCTGCCTTCGCTTCCAAGAATATCGCGGGCTCGCGCAACCAAAATAAGGGCCAGTAAAAGAGCTAGTGAGCAACCAGCAAAGAACCCTAAAGAGAATGTTACCCTATGCCTTTCTTTCTTTGCTTTTGGCCTCAAGATGTTCATCCCTTTTCTCCGGTTCGAGTTGGAAAAATGTTTGATGAATGTTGCTTCAACCCTCTCTATAAGCTTTGTAACCTGTCATTGCACAAACTAAATCCGATTATTGAAGGTTCAAACATAACAATCTAAACTCAACTCAATAGAGTCTTGTATATGCCCCGTCACCTATTATTTGGGTCGGTTGGCTCAAATATGAAGTGTTAAAAATATTTGACAAAGCCATCCTCAATGAGGAAATGCTCATTCTCTTTGCAGTTTGCATTATGGCTAAGAGATAATTAAGTTGAAAAAATCTCACCTCATCGGAGCTACCTAGATGTGTGTCATCCACCATTTTCAAGTAAGGTTTTGATGCATTTCTTGAAGCAATCTGTAACCATTGAGTAAAGAAAATAAGTCACCAAAACTGCTTTCCAACATCAACTTACTAGAGAGTAAGTCATTTTTCTTGGTGCATAATAAAATAAATATGCAGATAGGCTAATCCACATATTTGTCAAAGAACATTGTCCCTCAACACTACACAGTTATCTTCAAGAGACCCACCGCTTCTACGTCGGAGCTGAAGTTAAGGTCTCATAAGTGGTTCTGCCCCCTCACTCAACATAAGGCCCTCAAAAGAACNTTGTCAAAGAACATTGTCCCTCAACACTACACAGTTATCTTCAAGAGATCCACCGCTTCTACGTCGGAGCTGAAATTAAGGTCTCATAAGTGGTTCTGCCCCCTCACTCAACATAAGGCCCTCAAAAGAACTTTTCCAACTGTCTCAAGTAAGGAAAACACTGTTTCCTTCCAAAAAAGTCAAACTATCCATCATGCAACTATAAAAGTTGTGTGTTCTAGGCGCTAAAGAGTAAGTTTAGTCCCACTGGAATGTCATAGTGATAGAAACTCGAACCCAATAAATCCGAGATATTACCCACTTGGACCAACCACTTGGTGGTGAGAATAAGTCATTAGAACTGAGTTTAAACATACCTTATCGTATTTCTTCATGATCTTTGAAAATGCCAAAAGATTTAAGAAGCTGTTATCAATTCATTAACAACATAATTAATCACATTATATTTGAAGAAAAAAAGGAAATCTCAATTGAAATTTATACTAAACAAAAAAAATGTTCTTTTGTAGTTACCTATAGCTTTTGAGAAAACGAAGCTTGTGGTGAAATTGAATGAAAGCCAGCTTGAGTCTTTCTTCTATTTTCTTCAGATTTTCCTTGTTGAACTTCAACTCTGTCTGATTAGAAACATTAAGAAAACCTTTGATTGTCGAACGAGGAGTTTCAAGAGTGTTGGTCATTTTCACATGGTTTAGTATTTCTAGAGGTTGTGGTCTGGTGACCATGATGTTGCTAGGCTTTTGTTTTTGAACATTTTGGTTGATAGGTTTTGTCTCTTTGAAGTCTTCACAGCCACTTGATTCGTCTGATTGAACCTCGCTGCTTGGTCCATCTTCTTCTATTATTTCCATTTGCATTCTTCCTGCATATATAGTAACCCCAAACCATGTTAGAACTCGTTATTAGGGGTGTCAAAATATAATACGATTTGTTAACATGATATGAAATTAAAGGGTTTGGGTCTTCTTTAAACCACTCGTTTTGTAAACGAGTAAACTCGACACAATATGATTAATAAACGAATCGGTTATGAGCGAAGACAATCAAAAGAAATACATGACACGACCCGTTTATATATCGGTTATACACAGTTCATATACGACACGAACCCGATATGACACAACTCATTAGATATAAATTAATAAACGAATCAAGTATGGATAGAGTACTTTTTTGACACGAACCCATTAAGATTCAACACAAATTTGTCTCACCCAACACAATTGATAGGCCTACCTACTTGTGACTACGAATGTTAAACAGTCCCAACATACTGAGTTTGGCTAGATTTTAAAAAAGGCTTGTTCAAATCGTAAAATAAATTGAATATGATAAAAAAAATTCGCTTGTTTTATAAACATGTGAAATCCGAGACTGCATAATTTAGCTCACATAGTCTTTACTCGATTTGAATAGGTTCGTGTTTACTGTTTACAAATTATTTTAAATTTATTCTCAAGAATAATTATTTGATTGAAAGATGAACAATTCAAAACTTATCTTAAAATAGAGTCAAATTATACTCATTTCTCTCTTTCTTTTCTCCAATAAAGAATTTTCAACTTCAAGGGTGTCATGATTATAATACATTTTATGGGGTTGTTGAAAATTGATTACATAAACCCCCTTCAACACTACCACATAGTTTTATCATCTAATAGTAAACTATAAAATGAGTATCATAAACCCCGCTTATTTATGTATGATAGTTATNCGTAGTTTTATCATCTAATAATAAACTATAAAATGTGTATCATAAACTCCGCTTATTTATGTATGATAGTTATTAAATAAAATGGATGGGTAGTTATTAAATTTTATGAAATTTACCCGCTCATTTGTTAAAATATTATGGAATGAGAATATAAAAAAAAGTGCTAACATGGTATCATTTTTACATTCAAGATTTTCTCGTACTTATTAAGATAATTAATTACTAGTGATATCGTAATATTTATTCATACATGGTATTACTTATCAATAATAAAACATTAAATAAATAAAATAAACTTCATTATTTCGATAACTACTAATATCTACCAAATTCAATGACACGAATGAATAGTCGGGTTCACTTTATTCACTTGACCAAGTTATTGATGTACCCTTATTTTAGCTCAAGGAAGTTATAATTTTCAAAGCATTCACATTAACTATTAAAGATAGTCAGCACAAGTCACCCTAGGAAGCAACCTTTTTAGGAACATGTCCTTTACCATTAAAATGTAAGCAACACTACAAAAACAGAAATAAAACTATACAAGTTTGGTCCTATTTAATTTGCCATTCAAAAAATAATATTTAAAAATTATTTTAAATTTTTTTGTTACAAAAATGTGTTGTGCGTCACAGAACTTGTTTGATTATATAATTTTAAAAACTGTTCAATGAAATAGAAAACAGTAAAACTTGTTTAAATAGTAATACAAAAAATAATGAAAACATAAATGTGGTAGTGATGAAAGTGTTATGGTGGTGGTGGTATTTTCTAAATTCTGAAAATATTGTTTCTCAAAACACAGAAAATAATTTTAACTTGTTCTCTAAATCTATCAACTTTTTGTTCTCAATTTTCAAAAAATAAAAATAAAAAACAGTTGGTCAAACAGTTTTTCTACTAACAACTGTTTCTAAAAACAAAAAAATAATTTCTAAAATACAAACCAAATAGAGTTCTCTTCTTGATCACTCTAAAGACACTTTTTTTTTTGTGATGTTTATTTTCTAAAGATATTTATCAAACACGTTTTAAAATTTTTTTTTTGTACTTTAAAAAAACGTTACAAAACCGTGACTTACTCTTTAATTTCGCCCCACGGGGAGTAGAAGCAGACAACGCAGCTGTTGCAGCTGCAACACCTGAAGCAAGACGAGTCATCTCTCTTTCTCCTCCTCCTGCACTATCAAACCATACCCTTGGATCATCATCAACCCTTATTCTAAAAGCAATCAAAGCATCCATTTGCTTGTTCAACTCAGCAGCCTCCTTCATCACCTCTTCCACTTTAGATTTGTAGAACTTTACCACCTGCTACGATTTACCAATCCTTTGTTTAAGCAAAAGTATATTTATTTACTTTTTGAGTAAACTACGTAAATGACCTTTAAACTATGATCTTTGTATTAATTAAGCCCCTGAATTAATTTTCGTGTTAATTGAATCTCTAAACTCTAAAATTTTAGCAATTGAGCCGGTAAATTAAGTGTCAATTGAACCCTTAAACTCTAAATTTTTAACAATTAAGTCTTTCTGTCAGCAGTTGTTAGATTTTTAGACGGAATATCTTATATGCTCACCACATGAACAACAATTAGGGATATTTTAGACTGTTTGTTCGAATAGCCTATATTTATGTAATCANCCACATGAACAACAATTAGGGATATTTTAGACTGTTTGTTCGAATAGCCTATATTTATGTAATCAGTTTTCTACACTAAATTGAAGAACTTGTTAATCTACTTCGTTTGATAGGTATGAAAGAGGTTTAAGTTTAAGGTTTCAATTGATCGGTATCAAGAATGGAGTTCTTCGTCTGATAGTTTTCGAACGAACAATTTAAAATAGTTCTAATTTGTTATCCGTGTGGTGAGCAAGTGAAATATTTTGTCCAAGAAACCTAACGATTATTGATATAAGGACTTAATTACTGAATTTTTAGGATTTAGAGGTTTAATTGATACGAAAATTAGTTCATGGGCTTCATTATTAAAATTTTTGAGTTTAAGGGCTCAATTGACATGAAACTTAGTTCAATGGNCGTTATTAGGGGTGTCAAAATATAATACGATTTGTTAACATGATATGAAATTAAAGAGTTTGAGTCTTCTTTAAATCACTTGTTTTGTAAACGAGTAAACTCGACACAATACGATTAATAAACGAATCGGTTATGAGCGAAGCCAATCAAAAGAAATACATGACACGATCCGTTTATATATCGGTTATACACAGCTCATATACGACACGAACCCGATATAACACAACTCATTAGACATAAATTAATAAACGAATCAAGTATGGATAGAGTACTTTTTTGACACGAACCCGTTAAGATTCAACATAAATTTGTCTCACCCAACACAATTGATAGGCCTACCTACTTGTGACTACGAATGTTAAACAGCCCCAACATTCTGAGTTTGGCTAGATTTTAAAAAAAGCTTGTTCAAATCGTAAAATAAATTGAATATGATAAAAAAAATTCGCTTGTTTTATAAACGTGCGAAATCCGAGACTGCATAATTTAGCTCACATAGTCTTTACTCGATTTGAATAGGTTCGTGTTTACTGTTTACAAATTATTTTAAATTTATTCTCAAGAATAATTATTTGATTGAAAGATGAACAATTCAAAACTTATCTTAAAATAGAGTCAAATTATACTCATTTCTCTCTTTCTTTTCTCCAATAAAGAATTTTCAACTTCAAGGGTGTCATGATTATAATACATTTTATGGGGTTGTTGAAAATTGATTACATAAACCCCCTTCAACACTACCACATAGTTTTATCATCTAATAGTAAACTATAAAATGAGTATCATAAACCCCGCTTATTTATGTATGATAGTTATTAAATAAAATGGGTGGGTAGATATTAAGTTTTATGAAATTCACCGGCTCATTGGTTAAAATATTATGGAATGAGAATATCAAAAAGAGTGCTAACATGATATCACTTTTATATTCAAGATTTTCTCGTACTTATTAATATAATTAATTACTAGTGATATCATAATATTTATTCGTACATGGTATTACTTATCAATAATAAAACATTAAATAAATAAAATAAACTTCACTATTTCGATAACTACTAATATCTACCAAATTCAATGACACGAATGAATAGTCGGGTTCACTTTATTCACTTGACCTAGTTATTGATGTACCCTTATTTTAGCTCAAGGAAGTTATAATTTTCAAAGTATTCACATTAACTATTAAGATAGTCAGCACAAGTCACCCTAGGAAGCAACCTTTTTAGGAACATGTCCTTTACCATTAAAATGTAAGCACCACTACAAAACCAGAAATAAAACTATACAAGTTTGGTCCTATTTAATTTGCCATTCAAAAAATAATATTTAAAAATTATTTTAAATTTTTTTGTTACAAAAATGTGTTGTGCGTCACAGAACTTGTTTGATTATATAATTTTAAAAACTGTTCAATGAAATAGAAAACAGTAAAACTTGTTTAAATAGTAATACAAAAAATAATGAAAACATAAATGTGGTAGTGATGAAAGTGTTATGGTGGTCGTGGTATTTTCTAAATTCTGAAAATATTGTTTCTCAAAACACAGAAAAAAATTCTAACTTGTTCTCTAAATCTATCAACTTTTTGTTCTCAATTTTCAAAAAATAAAAATAAAAAACAGTTGGTCAAACAGTTTTTCTACTAACAACTGTTTCTAAAAACAAAAAAATAATTTCTAAAATACAAACCAAATAGAGTTCTCTTCTTGATCACTCTAAAGACACTTTTTTTTTTGTGATGTTTATTTTCTAAAGATATTTATCAAACACGTTTTAAAATTTTTTTTTTGTACTTTAAAAAAACGTTACAAAACCGTGACTTACTCTTTAATTTCGCCCCACGGGGAGTAGAAGCAGACAACGCAGCTGTTGCAGCTGCAACACCTGAAGCAAGACGAGTCATCTCTCTTTCTCCTCCCCCTGCACTATCAAACCATACCCTTGGATCATCATCAACCCTTATTCTAAAAGCAATCAAAGCATCCATTTGCTTGTTCAACTCAGCAGCCTCCTTCATCACCTCTTCCACTTTAGATTTGTAGAACTTTACCACCTGCTACGATTTACCAATCCTTTGTTTAAGCAAAAGTATATTTATTTACTTTTTGAGTAAACTACGTAAATGACCTTTAAACTATGATCTTTGTATCAATTAAGCCCCTGAATTAATTTTCGTGTTAATTGAATCTCTAAACTCTAAAATTTTAGCAATTGAGCCAGTAAATTAAGTGTCAATTGAACCCTTAAACTCTAAATTTTTAAGAATTAAGTCTTTCTGTCAGCAGTTGTTAGATTTTTAAACGGAATATCTTATATGCTCGCCACATGAACAACAATTAGGGATATTTTAGACTGTTTGTTCGAATAGCCTATATTTATGTAATCAGTTTTCTACACTAAATTGAAGAACTTGTTAATCTACTTCGTTTGATAGGTATGAAAGAGGTTTAAGTTTAAGGTTTCAATTGATCGGTATCAAGAATGGAGTTCTTCGTCTGATAGTTTTCGAACGAACAATTTAAAATAGTTCTAATTTGTTATCCGTGTGGTGAGCAAGTGAAATATTTTGTCCAAGAAACCTAACGACTATTGATATAAGGACTTAATTACTGAATTTTTAGGATTTAGAGGTTTAATTGATACGAAAATTAGTTCATGGGCTTAATTATTAAAATTTTTGAGTTTAAGGGCTCAATTGACATGAAACTTAGTTCAATGGCTTAATCAACATAGAGTAATATTACATGGGACCCACTACTTATTAAATAATTATGATCATCAAGTTTAATTTTTAAATTCATAGAGTATTACTCGAAAAAAAAAGAGTAAATCCCGTCGGGGAAAAAAAAATTATAATTACAAAAAAAAAAAAAATAGAAGAACGTTATCAAATGATATCTTATTTAGCTCAAAAAAACAAAAGTAATTTCGAAAAACATCATCAAACGTTACCTTATTTAGCTCAAAATCAAGCCTCCTAAAGTACACCAGCTCAAGCTCTCCTCCGTCGTCTGCCGCCATGAGGAACATGGTCTCACAACCTTCTTCGCCGTTACGCCTCACAGAGTTCACAAGAATGACTTGATTTTCTAAATCTGAGGTGGAGGCTGCGCTAGTGGTGGTGGTGGAGGAGTTGCTCCACCGTGTTAGACCACTGAAGGCTCTGCGCAGTGTATATTTTCTAGTCAAGGTTGCGGCGGTTGGTTGCGTTGGCCTATTTCTTTGTTTGAAACGTTGGATATCTTTCAACAGAGTCTTTAAACTACCATAATCCATGTATGCCTGTTGCCATTCTGGTACCATCTGTGATTGAAATTCCTTACCAAACTTCATCTTTTTTTGTCTTTTGATGGAGCTTGAAAAGTATAAATTCTGGGTTTTTCTTGCTGGTCTTGTTCTACTGGGGTTGGAAGTATTAATCAGGAAACGGGATGTTTACCCAGCCCCCCTAATCTCCGTTCAGCCAGAGAGGTGTTTGTATGGTATAACAAGTTATTTAGCTACTTGTACAATGCAATGCGTTTGCAGCCTCAGCTTGACAGGATGGGAATGAAAGCCGAGGGTGCAGGAAAGAATAGCATACTGGCAAAGGAGGTCCCCTTGCATATCTATTTATACCCATGGGGTGTGTGAGAGAGAGAGAGAGAAGAATTTTCAATTTTGAGAAACTGNTTTGCAGCCTCAGCTTGACAGGATGGGAATGAAAGCCGAGGGTGCAGGAAAGAATAGTATACTGGCAAAGGAGGTCCCCTTGTATATCTATATATACCCATGGGGTGTGTGAGAGAGAGAGAGAAAGAAGAATTTTCAATTTTGAGAAACTATGATGGCGAACGAGGGGCGGAAAGAGGGGAGGGGGTTCATGGAAGATGGAAGTAGACCTAGTAAAATCACAAACTCAATACCAGTTTATTTTATTATGATTGGGTGATAAACGGATGAATCAGTATTAATATAAATTAAATTAAATCATTAAATATAAGTTATTTAACATGGGTTATATATCACTCTGGATAATAATCGAGCCAAATTTTACAAACTCGAGCTAAACCTGTTAAACTCAGTTTTTTAAACGAATTTAAAAAATTATTCAAAATTGACTCATTTAAAAAATGAGTCAAACTTGAATTGAGTTGAATTCAAGCCGAGTCCGAATAATTTGACTATTTTACATATAAATGAGTTGAATTTTACAATTTCGAGCATAAAAAATTATTCAAACTCATCTCGTTTAAAAAATAAATTGGCCGAGCTCAAGTAACTCGATTCAATTATAGCCCTATAAATGGCAATAACTCAATAAATAAAATAGATCATATACAATGAAGATTAGGTCCAAAATAGAATTGCTCCAAACTTTTTCATTGGGTTCGTGACATGTGTAAGTCATACGTAACAAATTATATTATTGCATTTAATTAGAGTTCTTTTCGATTTATTTATTCAACGAATTTAACACGTAGACTTATTTATCACCTGAATCGGNTTTATTATGATTGGGTGATAAACGGATGAATCAGTATTAATATAAATTAAATTAAATTAAATCATTAAATATAACTTATTTAACATGGGTTATATATCATTCTGGATAATAATCGAGTCAAATTTTACAAACTCGAGCTAAACCTGTTTAACTCAATTTTTTAAACGAATTTAAAAAATTATTCAAGATCGACTCATTTAAAAAATGAGTTAAGATTGAATTTAGTTGAATTCGAGCCGAATCCGAATAATTTGACTATTTTACATATAAATGAGTTAAATTTTGCGATCTCGAGCATAAAAAATTATTCAAACTCATCTCGTTTAAAAAATAAATTGGCCGAGCTCAAGTAACTCGATTCAATTATAGACCTATAAATGGCAATAACTCAATAAATAAAATAGATCATATACAATTAAGATTAGGTCCAAAATAGAATTGCTCCTAACTTTTTCATTGGGTTCGTGACATGTGTAAGTCATACGTAACAAATTATATTATTGCATTTAATTAGAGTTTTTTTCGATTTATTTATTCAACGAATTTAACACGTAGACTTATTTATCACCTGAATCGGTTAAAATTAAACTCAAACACACTAATTCTGTATCGATACGGTGTGGTAGGTTTTAAATTTTTTGTAGTCTATCCTTTGATTACAACAAAGATTTTTCCAAAGGGGAAGATATCCCAAAGAGGCCTGGACTAATCTTAACAACTTTCGTTTGGAAAATATGTATCAAATCAACCACTCTAATTGAATAATGCTCAAGTGTTTGATTGTTTAATTAAATTATTAACCATTTAGGACACTTACATTGATTTTGTTGTACCTGCTAAAGAAGACTTCTAGTACGTACGAACCAAGGAAAATTCCAACACAGTGTCGGCCTTCATGTTGTCAAAATTTCCATGTAAAAAATGGGATTTCGTGTGAATGTGTACGGATTGTAAAAAGTTTTTTTTTCCTTTTTTTGGGTAATCACGCCCACACCTTTTTTTTGACCCAATCTCTCCAATCCATAGATTCCACACCTCCGTACACCCGACCCAATTTGTCCACGTGTGCCGATTGTTGTGTTTGTTTTAAGCATTAAGCATCCTAATTTAACATGTTTAACTAAAATTTCATATGCGATGGTCTTTATGTTTTTAAAAATAATGATTACAAATTTTAAATTGTTTTAATTTAAATCATAAATATATGTACATTCCAAAAAAAATAAAAAGATCGTACTATATTTGATGGCTTGACCCAAATCAAACTTAATTTGGAGACCTAATTTAAAAATACAAATCAAATTTATGTCACAAGTATAGCCAAACCAAGTCAAAAATACCAGCCAACAAGGACCAAAACCATGGTCTTGGAAAATCCAATCTACTAGTAACGTACATGAGATCTCCAATTTAAGAAGAGAATTAGGGAATGCATTGCAAACTTCAACCACCTCGTCTGTATACGCTAACATCATGGAGCCACCCACTCTTGTCACGAACTTTGGTTATTAAAGTTTTGATTTTGTCACTTTAGTCCGCTAGGTGTATACATTGGTCCAATGTGATCCATCGTACAAGCTGTTATTTAAATCAGTGTCGAAAAACTATAAATTGTGTGACACTTGCTACTCTTCAAGGGTATTTAGGTTGACCCTCAACTTCTTTGTTGGTCCTTGAAACAATGTCTCTAGTTTTAAAATTCTCTCCAAGATGAAATTAAATAAAAGAAAACTAATTGCTATGATTTACATTGTTTAAGGACTTAACTAAAATAATAAAAACAAACAAGTGAAAAAAAAAAAGGGAAAATATTGGAATAAGTTTTGAAGTTTGTCCTTTTGGATAAATGAAAAATAGGATGAAAGGGGTTGATTATTACTATTACATTTATGTTGTTTAAGGATTAAATTGAAACAATTGTTAGTTAAGGGGAAATTTCAAAACTGAATATACACAATTTGAGGGTCCTATTGTATTTACCAACAAAATGATGGGTGGGGAATCGAATTTTTTATTTGTTTATAAAATTTACAATTTGACCCATGCNGGATTAAATTGAAACAATTGTTAGTTAAGGGGAAATTTCAAAACTGAATATACACAATTTGAGGGTCCTATTGTATTTACCAACAAAATGATGGGTGGGGAATCGAATTTTTTATTTGTTTATAAAATTTACAATTTGACCCATGCATATTATTGGATATGACAGGCACCACCACAATGGACGATGGGAGGCACGAATTGGACGAGTTTTTGGAAACAAATATCTCTAACTTGGGAACTTATAGTATGCTCTCTTTCTATCTATTTCTTACAAGTACAGTAATGGTATTCTATCTCTNCTTATTATTTGGATATGACAGGCACCACCACAATGGACGATGGGAGGCACGAATTGGACGAGTTTTTGGAAACAAATATCTCTAACTTGGGAACTTATAGTATGCTCTCTTTCTATCTATTTCTTACAAGTACAGTAATGGTATTCTATCTCTCTTCAATCTCTTCTTTCCNTTTTTGGAAACAAATATCTCTAACTTGGGAACTTATAGTATGCTCTCTTTCTATCTATTTCTTACAAGTACAGTAATGGTATTCTATCTCTCTTCAATCTCTTCTTTCCCTCCATTGCAACTCTTAAATCATGTTTAGGTTTTCGAGTTTTCGGGACCCAATCCGAACTAGTTAATTTAGGTACAACGTGATTGAAACCTTAATTGTAGCACTAGTTGTGTGGTTTAAGAATCAAATTTTGGCTTAATTTGAGTTGAACCCTTATTTGACTTGAATTGAAGATTAAGTTGTGTGACTCGAGTTGAATACGATTTTAAGTAGAATTTGGATTGAAAATTTTCTAACTTGTATTGAACACTGGTTAACTGCCCAACTTATCCAACCCAACACGGGTTATATTTTTGGGTCTCTAGTATTGAATCGCGTCTACTTATTGTTGTCTCCTTGATTTAAAGAAAATAAAATATCTTTGCCTAATTGTATTGAATTTAATGGCAGACTTGGCTTTTCAGGGAATCCATTGAAGATGTGTTCATGTTTCTAACTTTGGATTGAACGACTTGTATATACATTTATTTAATGGGTCATTTTCTATGCCAACAATCCCAAACTGATTAAAATTTGTTGAAAATCCATTATTGCATCGTTTACTTTTTGTTTATATTTAAAATTTTATTATCACTTAATCGAACCTATATTCTTATATTTATTTCTAAACTAAAAATTAACTTAATAAATATAATAATAAAAATGAGTAAAAATATTTTTTTTACAATAATTATGTCACTATTTAATAAAATATAATAAAACATTAATATTTTATTCTTATAATACTATTTAAATATATTAATCATGTTAATTTCATATTGTTTATTTTTTACAGTAATACAACACATTTTTTATTCCTGTTAACGGGTTGTATTATATACGAGTTTATGTTGAAAAATAGTTAATGCAAACCAACTAATTTCATATTGATTTTGAATGGTGTTTTTGGCACCCCGGAACTTTTCCCCACCCTTTCTCCTACCCCTGTACTCTCTCTCTCTCTCTCTGTTTAGAAAATTGCCTCTTAGGAGGAGATTTTGGGTTAGAATCCGAAGCTTGAGGAGGTTCTTGAGGAGGAAACCACGGGTGGTTATGGCTGCTTACGATAAGGTGGTGAAGAGGTTGAAGGAGGGTCAGTCAGTCTCATTATGAAGATCTCTTTGATGGGAACTATCAGTTCATGCAGGTCACTCCAACACCTTTGAAGTGTGTTGACAAGTCTTTAAAGGGCCATTATCATCTTCCAGGTTTG